GAGGACTACAGAGGCGCCACCACGAATAGCAGGGAGGGTGGGTGTAAGAAGGCGGGGGCCAAAAAAAGATTATTTTTTTAAACGGGGGATTGGTTGGATGACCACGCCTCCTCTTATTACTTTTAAATGTATAAAAGAGGGTGTGGGGGGGGCTGTGAGCTCTCCCACACACAAAAAAGTTCCACACTGTTGTATTTTACTACATGTACTTTGGCCATCCCCGTCCCACCCGGAAGAAACCCTAAAAGGTTACCACCCCCCCCCCCCTCCTTCTGTCTTTCTTTCTCTCTCTCTTATTTCTCTCTCTCTCTCTCTAACACAACCACACACACACACATCCCACCCCCCCCCGCGCTCGGGGGGGGGGGGGGGGGGCAAAAACAACCAACAACGTTGTCTTCTGTTTGTTTGTTTAGTATAGGGTTTTACGGCGCTCGCAACTGCATAAGGTCATATGAGCGCGCGGGACACACCTAATACTTTTTCGTTGGTAGGAAATTTTGAATTTTGCCCGGGTGGCGGCCGAAGCCTACTCTTATCGATTTTAGACCACCAAGGGATCTTTAACGTGCGCAACTTGCACACGGGCCCTCCGAGATTTTTCGCCCTTGTCCGAGAAGGCTAGGTGTAGATCTTTCCTACCAGAAGATCAGGGGTGTGGCAGAAAGACAGCAGTTAGGAGGAGCCAAGGAGTAGCAGTAGAAAGGCTGCAGAAAGAGTCAGGAGCCCAGAGGAGGGGGCAAAGGAGGTGAGGGGGTGGGAACAAAGTGGAAATGAAAGCAGACAACAGAACACTGTTAGAGATCAGGAAAGGATGTGAAAGGAGACACCTTTAGAGAAGAAAATATTTTGGTCGCTACCCGGAATCGAACCCGGGACCTTTGAATGAGGGGCCAACACCTTAACCTTTAGGCCACGAGAGCCCCCCTACGTTGTCTTCGTGGCTATGTTAGGCTAGTCGACGCTTTTTGTGACGCCTCGTTTACAGTAGGCCTACTCTAAAAAAAAATAAAAAAATAAAAAGTGACTGATGAGTAGAAATCGGAGATCCAACAGCCAATCAGCAGACAGCTACTTGGTGAATACAATTCAGTTCGTGCTCTCTTAGGGCGCTTTGAGCAGAAATTAATCAGTTCGAAGCTGGCGACATTTCAGGTACTTGTGATTCCAGTAGTAAAACTACATTGGACACTGCCTTCCCGTCTCCTGTGCAAATGAAACCGAGGCGATCAGGCGACACATGGAGATTTAGATTCCATCATATCTTAGCAAATATTCAGGTATGTTATTTGTTTTCGTATTTCTTGATATTGAACCGTATTCCAATTCTTAATAATAATAATAATAATTTGTATAGCGCATATCCCCGCTCAACAGCAGGCTCTATGCGCTTTACACTATATTATTTCTTATTATCAAGTCCTCATTCTTCGTCTCTCCCCATTCCTCCTCATCGCACATATTGTGCGTACTGAAAGGTCATTTAATTCCCCTTTCCATATTTTGGGCTAGTTCCGTTGTTTCTCTCTCACTTGTATTTCCTGTGCACACTTTCTACTCAAACTGCCCCCCCCCCCTTAACCCCTTCCTCCTAGTTCCTTCAGATTTAGTAATTTCTTATAGAGATTAGGTAATTTTTTTTTTTCACGTATCCCGAATCCAGAAACCCCCCCACCCCCCCTCGCTCTCTCTCTGTCTCTCGCTCATCTCTATCTCGGTGTCTCTCTGTCTGTATCTCTCTCTCTCTCTCTCTCTCTCTCTCTCTCTCTCCCCCCTCCCCATATTAACAGACCTCCCCTATTAGGACATTAACTCAATTACTACTTTAGAAATTAAAAAGTACCAATAATTGGTGAGTTTTGAGTTCGGTCAAAAATGCACAATCATGTGAAGAACATCTCCTAGAAGGATAAAAATGTCCTTTCTTTATAACATGCTACAATTTGTTTCTTCTACTGTTTGGCTTATTTTGATAGAATGCGGTGAATTCAAAGATGCGCTTATACCAGTATTTGATATTTTAAATGCTCCAACAGGAAGTCATTGTTAATACAGTCAAACCTGTGTAAGACGGCCACCCATTGTCAATGAGAAAAGTGACCGTATAAGACAGGTGGCCGTCTTAGGCAGGACTGATCAAGAAGAAGAAAACAAAATATTATTCCTATCAGAGGTCACAATCGAAAGTAGCCGCATTGTTGTTGGTGGTGGTGGTGGTTTGTATTTTGTTTGTAATTTTTATTTTGTTGCTGATTTCGCAAAAGGATGACAATAAAACGAAATGTATCAGACAAGGAAGACCGAGTGCGAAGTAAAAACAAACTCCTGGGTCGCCACCACTCGGAGAACGAGCGACGTTTCTGTCACAAGTTCATGTTGACGTCCTTTGTTACTTTGTTACAGACTGGGTAAACAGTGACCACTCATCTCGCTTACGATTTGTGTTTAAGTTCTGGGCGGGGCTTATGGGTTATGAGGGATCACACGCTTACCTCACCAGCAGCTGAAAATTGGTAACTATTGGTCAACAGTAGGAGGGGCCTACGCAATATGATCTGTTGGAGGGACTACCTAACAACAGCGACAGGGGATTGAATTATGACGGCTCGCCCACAACGCCAGGGGCCAAAGCACAATTTATGACTAAACGAAGTGGAGTCACTAAGGTGGCCGTCTTAGACGGGTGTTATTGCTTAGTGTGATAGGGGTTGTGTGTTGAAATAAGGTGGCCGCGACAGATGCCCGTTTTACACAGTTAAATTATATAGAAAAAACGCAAGGGGGGAAACGGAAAGTGACCGTTTGTACAGGTGGCCGTCTTATAGAGGTGGCCGTCAGGGCAGGTTCGACTGTATTATTGACCCAGGAAAGATCTTTGTTTTGCAAATATTTAGTCTACAAGAAATGCATAGTATCAAAGTTGTAAAAAAGTGAACATTTTTAACTCATAATTTTGCAGACAGATTTTTGTAAATGTTTGTCCATCCTTTTAATCAGTAGTAAGAAAAGTTGATGCTTGGAAAATCTGTATTTGTCAAATACATGAACAGATTTTCTCTATAGCGATATAGAACATAATACTCAATCAAAAACCAATATGGGGGCTCTCGTAACCTAGAGGTTAGGGTGTTGGCCGCTCATTCGAAGGTCCCGGGTTCGAGTCCGGGTAGCGACCAAAAAAATTATTCTCTAAAATTGTCTCGTTTCACCTCATTGCCTGCTCTCTAGCAATGTTCTATCGTCTGCCTTCGTCTCCTCTTTCTGCCCCACCCCCTCACCTCCTTTGCCCCACCCCCTCACCTCCTTTGCCCCCTCCTCTGGGCTTCTGACTCTTTCTGCAGCCTTTCTACTGCTTCTCCCTGGCTCCTTCTTACTGTTGTCTTTCAGCCACACCCCTGCACCTAGCCTTCTCGGACAAGGGTGGAAAATCTCGGAGGGCCCGTGTGCAAGTTGCGCACGTTAAAGATCCCTTGGTGGTTCACAATCGATAAGAGTAGGCTTTGACTGCCACCCGGGCAAATTTCAAAATTTCCTACCAACTGAAAAAGTTTAACGTGTCCCGCGCTCTCATATAACATTATGCAGTTGTGAGCGCCGTAAAACACTTTTTAAAGAAACAACCCAAAAACCCACCCCAAAACCCCCCAATATATTGCCTTTTGTTATTGTCGATGGGTGAGGGGTGTCAATGACAGAACCTTCTCGTTTCCTTTCCCCTGTAGTTTGTGCCTGTCTGTCGTATTTTTCCCTTACATTTTGATAATTGTTATTGCCTTGGATGTGCTTTTCTTTGCTTAAACTGTAAAGTTTAATTAATAATTAATTTGACTTCAAATTTATGTTTCACAGAAAGCCAGCACCCACATGAGAAGCCAACAGCTGACAGTCAGCCAAGAAGCTGACACCCTGCCCAGACAGCACGGACCTTCCACTCACTCTTAGACAACCAGCCAGACGAATATACTGCCACAGCTACCCTGAAATGGATTTGTCAGTTACACCAGCGAACGATAACTGGCAAATATAACAGCTGACTGTGCACTTTGATTTCTCAAGCTTGTGTGAAATTGTGCGGATAGGGCTGTAAAAACATGGACTCAACGACAGAAACATTCTTTGTATGATGTACTGTTTCAGATATTGTACAGAAGCTGCTTCACATGAGATCACTGAACTAGAAAGATGACGAGGCAATTCTATCCCTTTCCTTCAGTTCAAAGTTTGGTGACATCAGTCGGTTTGTTCACTTTTCTGGTCCAACAAGTATCAAAGTGGTCTGCTTCTACGATTTCCGTATATCACACTCAGGCTTGAAGTGACGCAGTGGGGCTGTAGAGATAGGCAGATAGGTTGATAGGGAGCTAGGTGGATAGGCTAGGTTCAGAGTAGGATTTCGTAGATATTGCCATGGCCATGGCGGGAGGTAGTTGAGGGGGCAGTGCAGGTTTTTCTTTTTTTGGGAAGGGGGGGGGGAGGTTGCAGGGGTAGAATGGTGTGGGTAAAGCTTCCTGCTGATTTTGAGTTTGAGTGTGATGATGTTGGAGTGGGGTGTATACTGGATTGTTCCGTAAGGACCACCTGGACTAGCAAGAGGAGCACCCGCAGACAGGACGTCTACAGGAGGTATTTGTCTGGGAAATATGTCTCGGTGTTCATTATTATAGTTTTTCAAGTTAAAGGTAAAAGTTTTATTGTTGCATTTAGGTGGAAAGAGAGAATGATAAAATGTATTTTTACTGAAAGGTTTTTATTAATGACCTTCTGTCCTTTTACACTGGTGGTAAACAATATTGTAACGACTCTTTTTATATTTTGAAACAAAAATGCAAACTGTATAGATGTAAGACAATAGTATTAATTGACAAATGATGAAATATATTTTTTGGACAAATTTTTTAAAATGTCTTTGATGCTTTTTAAACCAGTAGCAAAAATATTTTAGCGACAATTTATTTTTTCACAAAAAGAATACAAACTGTATGTATAGAGGTAAGACGATTGTATTAACTGACACGTCTTCATCACCAGGACCAGCCGCGGACAGGAGGACCAGCCGGAGGAGCACCCACAGACAGGAGCATCTATAGGAGGTATTTGTCTGAGAAATAGGTCTTGGAACATTATTTGTTAATCATTAAAGTAAAATTAGAAAAATAACTATTGGTTTTGTTATTTCAAGGTGAAAGACTTGTTTTTGCATTTTGGTGAAAAAGAAAACTAATAAAACATTTCTCCTGACCCGTTTTCATTAATGTCTTTTCTGGCCTTTTAACACTCGATTTAAAATCACGTTTCCGCGTAATTCTCTCGTGTTTGTGGAAATGCGACCCGACATATTACGTTTATAAAACCACTTGTTTCGAGTCAAACTCATCAATAATAATAAAGCATTACGCAGATGTAGAATTCATTTATCTTTGACTTCCGGGTCAAACTTAAGGCTTGTTAGCTCATACTTTTTTTATATTCGGCTCGCACCATAATACAATAATGACTTCGCATCGGTCCAGCCATAGTTATGGACCTCGACTGCCGGACACTGCCACTGTCCAGACATAGTTAGAGTTAAACCAGTAGAAAAAATATTATATCCCCTCTTGTATATTCTGAAACAAAAATACAAACTGTATAGATACAATACGATTGTATTAATTGACACATCTTCATCACCAGGACCAGCCACGGACAGGAGGATCAGCCGGAGGAGCACCCACAGACAGGAGCATCTACAGGAGGTATTTGTCTGGAAAATTATGTCTTGGAACATTATTTGTTAATTTATAATTAAAGCAAAATTTTTTTAATACCCCCACCCTTCTCGTTTTTATTAGAGTTGGGGCGAGCGGATGGACGGGTTCGTTACTCGCGGACTGTCAGAGCGAGCGGGTAACGGGCGGCCATGCGAGTGGACTGCGAACCTCAAGACAGTTCATTTTTTGGGTCCACTCCACAATTTTACTCTCTCAGTTAATTCACTTAACGGGCGGGCGAACGGACTAACTCTAGCACACGATATACTCGACTCGATGTTAGGCCCGCCGTCTATTGTTTGTTAGTTAGGCATAGTATTTCAAGCCACTTGCGGTGCCACAGGGAGTGAGAGAGGCTGGTGACGTAGCACTATGTGTGTAACCTTTCACCTCGTGTGTGGCTCGCACTGTGTATGTTCCAATTTAACCTGAAGGCGAAGTTTAAAGAATTTGGGTCGATAGTGCCGTAAAACACCTACACAGTCAATCAAAATAGAATTTCCAGTTGTGAGCGCCGTAAAACCTCTACAAAAAAAAAAGAAAAAAGAAAAATATCTATTGATTCTTTTGATTTAAAGGTAAAAGTTTTATTTTTACATTTAGGTGAAAAGGGAAAGTAATAAGAGGCCTACGTATTTACTGACAGATTTTTATTAATGTCCTTTTAAACCAGTAGTAAAAATATATCAACTCTTTATTTTCTTAAAGAAAAATGGAAACTATATAGATGTAAGACGATTGTATTAATTGACACGTTTTCATCACCAGGACCAGCCGCGGACAGGAGGACCAGCCGGGGGAGCACCCACAGACAGGAGAATCTACAGGAGGTATTTGTCGGGGAAATATTATGTCTTGGAACATTATTGATCAATTACCTACTTTTACTTTTCATCCTCTGTTGCCATTATGCATAGAGGTGAGATGCAGTTTTCTATGGTAGGCCAGCTCTGCAGCTCTTTCAGTTCGGATACTATGATTTATCCGGGCTTCCTTGACAACTTCAATCCACCTTTTGTGTGGCCTTCCTTTTTCTTTATAGCTTGAGTGTTTGGTGTTATAGGTTCTCAAGGCTGGCTGGCTAGGTAACATACGTAACAGGTGGCCGAACCATTTTGTTCTGTCTTTCTATGAAATGCAGTCAGATGTACCAGTGCAAATAGCATAATGTAATCTTTTAATTGCATTTCGCTGAAAAGGAAAAATAAAAAACGTATTTACAGATGTCTATTAATGTCCTTTTAAACCAGTAGTAAAAATATAATATCAACTCTTTATTTTCTGAAATAAAAATGGAAACTGTAGAGACACAAGACAATTGTATGAATTGACATGTCTTCGTCACCAGGACCAGCCACGGACAGGAGGACCAGCCACGGACAGGAGGACCAGCCACGGACAGGAGGACCAGCCGCGGACAGGAGGACCAGCCGGAGGAGCACCCACAGACAGGGGCATCTACAGGAGGTATTTGTCTGGGAAATATGTCTTGGAACATTATTTGGTAATAGTCGAACCTGTGTAAGACGGCCACCCATTGTCGAGGAGAAAAGTAGCCGTATAAGACAGTTGGTGTCTTGGGCAGGACTGATCAAGATGAAAAAACCCAAACCATTCCTCTCTGAGGTCTCTCGAAAGTAGCTGCACTGTTGTTGTTGTTGTTATTGTTGTTGCTGTTGTCTTTGCTGGGGGTTTTTCTTTCTCTTTTTTTTTCTTCTGTTGCTTTTGTGTGAGGGCGACAATGAAACGAAAAGTGTCAGACAAGGAGGACCAAGTGCTATGGTAAAACAAACTCATGGGTCGCCACCACGAGGAGAACAAGCGATGCTTCTGTCACAAGTTCATGTAGATGTCCATTGTTACTTTGTTACAGACAGGGTAAACAGTGACCAATCATCTCACGATTTTTGTTTGAGTTTTGGGCGGGGCTTATGGGTTATGAGGTATCACACGCTTACCCCACCAGCAGATGAAAATTTGTTACCTATTTGTCAATAGTGGGAGGGGCCTACGCAACATTATCTGGGGAGTTGGAGGACATTAAAAAACAACAACGAGCAGGTAACCTGACTACCGAAATTGAAAAACGACGCCAGTAGCACAATTTATGACAAAACGTAATGGAGTCAGTAAGGCGGCCGTTTAAGACAAGTGTTATTGTTTTGTCTGATAGGGACTGTCTCTAAA